TCCATGATGACTTTTACAAGATCAATAAAACACAACACGAGTCATAAAGAAGGATTCAGATCAAGAAACTTTATTGATGATTACAGGAACAGGATTCATACTAACCAGATATTTTAACTCTTTGTTGTTGTAAAGAACGTAAAGCGTTCAGACTTCAGAGGACGTTTCATCCTCTGAACATGAAGATGGTAAAGAAATATGAAGTCTTCAGGTCTTATATTTGACATTTCAAACATGATAACAAACCCACGGAGCCGAACCTTTACAGAATGAAGCTCCAGAAAGACTCTTACTCAGAACAGGTGATCGAGCTACCTGTGGACTGGGAGCTACAAGATTAAAGGCAGGGTTGGTCATTTTAGAAAACTAGCATGATTTAAGTAGCATTTCCTAAGTGCTCCATCTGCACCCCCCCCCCCCCCCTCCTGCATAATATCCCATATGCTCTTTTTGTAAAGTGTCTCGGGATAACACTTATTATGAATTGGCGGTATACAAATGATGATTGATTATCACCATGGAAACTCAGTCACACAATCAGAGAAGAAGATTCAGAATATTGTAATCATCAAGATGCTTTTTTTTAAATCTACAGCCACAGAGATTCACTGGTTAAGTCCTCAGTGGGAGTTCTTCTCTCAGTTCTGATGCATGCAAACCGTTTCTTAGTGAAAGTTTGTGTTGGTGTCAGACTCACTCTGATCCTCTGCAGTCTCTTCTTCACTCAGAGAACAGGGACAGACTCTCCCCCCCCCACCACCCACACACACACACACACACACACACACACACACAGTGTCCCAGCTGTGAGTCCCTGAGTTACACCAAACAGATCTGAGCTCTGTGACAACCAGCGAAATCAGGACGACACAGTCACAGAGATCTTCTCTGGTAAAATCTTCAGTGGGAGTTTCTCCCCAGTGCTAATGATTGGAAACATCCTCTCAGTGAAAGTGTGTGTGAAGGTGTGTATGTGTGTGTTAGTATCAGGTTCAGAGAAGGACAGCTTTCCTCTGTTACAGTCCAGAGTCATTCTGATCCTCTGAGGCTTCTTCTTCACTGAGAGAACAGTGTCTGGACGTGATGAGGAGAATGCTTTGTATTTACCATCAGTGAACCATATGAACCATAATCCAGACAGTTTTTTTCCCTTCCTCTGTACAGACTCTGCTGACACACCCAGTTCCCAGTCTGTACTGTCTCCAACCTGGACGTCCCAGCTGTGAGTCCCTGAGTTAAAGCCCTCAGAGCCCAGGACAGAGCAGAACAAATCAAACCTCTCTGGATTATCAGGAAGCTGCTGCTCCTCTCCTTCTCTCACACAGGTTAGATCTTCAGACAAGATGAAGTCTGGATGAGCAGTGTTTGGGTCCAGAATGACCGGAGTGTAGGAGACCATGTCCTTCATCTTGTTCCAGATGTTGAAGCTCAGGTTGCCCAGGTGTTTGGCCTGGTCTATCAGAGCTCCTGAGGGCAGCTGTGGATCCTCTAGCAGGGGGCGCTGCTGGACTCTTTCCACTGCAGCCTTGTAGTTTTTCAGGAATGAGACGTCTGCAGCTCTCAGCTCGTCCTCTGTGGCTCTGACTGTGTGTGAAAGAGCTGCTATCTCTCTGCTCAGAGCCTCCACCTCCTCCTTCATCCTCTGATTCTTCTGCTCCTCTTCCTCCCTCAGTGCACACAGCCTGGCCTCCTCTTCCTCTTCTAGAAACTGGTGAAGCTTCTTAAACTGCTCCTTAATCTGCCTCTCTGTGTGTCGGGCTTGGACCTGAATGTGTTCTGCTGTTTGATCAAACTCCACTTTAACTCCTTTAAAAACATTTAACTTCTTCTTTACCGGCTCCAGAGTTTCCTGAAGTTTCTTCTTGTGATCGTGAGCAGCTTCATCGATGGGTCTGATTGTGTGTTTGCTGTGTTTTTGTGAATCTCTGCAGACGAGACACACCGGCTCCTGATGGTCCAGACAGAAGAGTTTGAGTTTCTCAGAGTGCAGACTGCAGAGATCCTCTGAAGCTCTCTGATCTCTCTCCTGCAGAAAACTCTCACTCAGGTTCTTTAAAGCAAAGGTAGGAGGTATTAATTCCTTTGACTGTCTCCTCTTACAAACCGGACACTCCTTGTTCTTCTTCTCCTTCCAAGATTCCTCCACGCACTCTCTACAGAAGCTGTGGCAGCAGGACAGGATGACTGGATCTTTAAAGAGCTCAAGACAGACCGGACAGCACAGATCTTCCTCTAACTTGGACGCCATTTTATCTCAGAGTCAAGCTGAACACGGAGACGAGTAGCTGGGAGTCACTCCCTGTGACTGACAGTTCCTTCGATCTGTATTCTTTATTCTTTTTAATTTCTCATCTGGTTGTGGATTCAGTTTCAGGTAATGGTGCAGATATTCCCAGTATCCTTGTATTCCCAGTATTCCCTCATGCAGCGGTCTGGTTTTGCTGCGAAGGTGTCAGTCCTTCATGCCGTCTCGTTTCAGTGACGCAGAATAACAACCCTTTTCCAGGTTGTCTCAGGTGTGTCAGGTGAGGGGGAGGAGATTTATCACTACAGCTTATCAGGGTCAAAGTTCATAAAAGAACTTTGAGATCATTGTTGACCAGAGGTGTCAAAAGTATACACATTCATTACTCAGGTAGAAGTATAGATACTAGGGTTTAAAAAGACTTCTGTAGAAGTTGAAGTATCAACTCAAGCTTTTTACTCAAGTAAAAGTGTAAAAGTACTGGTTTCAAAACCACTTAAAGTATAAAAGTAAAAGTAATGTAAGGGGAAAAAATGCCATTATGGACAAAAGCTTAGGCCGCGCCACAGGGGCCTATAGTGCACTACCCCACCTCCCCCCCAAAAAAAGTTTTTCTAAAGCCATAATGACTATAATGTTATATTAAAATGTTAATGTTGAAAAATTTGGGATGCACCTGTTTCAGCCACATTTATGCCCATTGAAAATGAACGCATTTTAGTACAATGCAATGTAACAAACACTTTAGACTCAATCCTGTATGTACAACAACTGACACACACACACACACACACGCACACACACACACACACACATCCAACAACCAGAGACAGTAACAGAGTGATTGGTTGTGTGTTTGTGTGTGATGCAGCGTGGAGCTGTACGAGGTGAGTCGCTCTGCAGCACGTGAAGTGTGCAGCTGTTTGTCTGTGACTGTGTGTGTGTGTGTGTGTGTGTGTGTGTGTGTGTGTGTGTGTGTGTGTGTGTGTGTGTGTGTGTGTGTGTGTGTGTGTGTGTGTGTGTGTCCCGGTGAGCGAGCCAATATCGAGGTGACATTGATTTGTCTTTGAGGCTGAGATGCTCGCTCCCTCGTGTCTCGCCTCCTCTTGTCCTCCCCTTCTCTATTATCTAACCTGTTTTTCTCCTTTCTTCAACCCCCCCCCCCTTCCACTTTTACTTTCTGCAATCCCTGCTCGCAATGAAGACAAATGTGTTTAATCTCACTAAAGTGTAAAACGTGTAATTTAACTCTAAATGAATCATCTCCTCCTCAGTGTGAGTTGGGAACAGGAGACTGAGAGTTTAGATTTTATTTAATGTGAGAGGCAAAGGGCTGCTCATATTCAGACACGTCCTGTTCATAGACTGTAAATATTACTGGACGAACCCTGACCCGTCTGTTACATAGGCAGCAAATGAGTCCAATCGACGGCCGCATCCATATTGGATTTGCAGTCTCAACCTAACTTCGGATCAACCTAGCAACAGCAGTAAGGCGGGACCGGCGGGACTTAAACTCCGCCCATTCAGCTCGACGTCAGCGGTCCACTAGACAACATAGCTAACAGCTACGGCTTCTATCATCCCCTATTCCTGCTCATCCTGAGAAAACTCTATAAACAGTAAGTTAACATTTAACTTTTCTACAACACAGTTAAAACAAATTATCTTCAACCCAAATATTTAATTAAAGTCTTAAAACTACACTTTTTTAAATATACAATTATGGTTATTAGTTATTTGTCAGAGCAGTTAGACTTTGTCAGTGTTAGCAGAGCAATACATTAACAAAGTTTTATCATAACATGTAAGAAACATTTTGAGGCTGATCTTTACATTTAAATCCTCACATTGAGCTACAAATCATTACTTGGGTGTAAGAACATATTTAAGGATAAGAAGTCTGTTTTAAAACGATAAAAGACGAGAGCTTTGGCGTCTTTTTTCTTTTCGTTGTTGTTGATAAAACTACTGTTAGACCATCGACTGTAAATAAATATGTGAGACATCCAGAAGAAATCAATATTACAAAGCATACAGTTCATGTTACTGTTGTGACAAAAAGAGGAATGTCTGTGTTTTATATTTACTGATGTCAACAGCGATGAGGTGAACATGACAATTGAAAAATAATCATTTAGTATTTATTATAAGACATTTGTTTTCTATTGAACCCCGTGAAGTCATGGAGTCTGTGGACAGTGTCAGCTTCACACCAAAAACTTTAAGTATTAGAAAAAATAGTGTTTAAGACTGGTATTAGGAGTTGCAGCTACCTTGTTCAATATTATTCCTGCAGATGAGGCTAATAACAAAAAAAACACCCTGAGCTGTCACATGTCGTTAACTGTACAGTTTGTCTTGTCTGAGGCATTAATTGAACATTTTATTTCTTCTATAGACAGTTATTGTGAATAACTCTTATCTTTCATCAAATCAAACGACCCCCGTACAGTCGATCGAGACATGAGCTAATCAGACATATTTGTTTTGTACCAAGCTGGGTACTGGGTAGGTCGGAGGTTGACCCTTGGTCCTATTACAGTATAATAATAGACTTTGTTTGGCATGGACATCACAGATACGTTGGGTGCATTGTTTAAGTGTTTTTATGATCTGAAGGATATCACTATTAATCCATGGAAGAGAGTATTTCTTGGGTCTACTTTTCCAGGTTTTTGTGTATTTATTTAATAATTCACATTTCTTGCTTGCTTTCTTACCATCAGTGTCATGTTGTGGTCCGAAAGGCCAGTGATGAGATTGTATATTTTTGTTACTCTCTCTGGTCTATTTGTAAAAATTAGATCAATAAGGGTTTCAGTCTTTCTTGTGATTCGAGTTGGTCTATCAGCCAGCTGTTTGTATTTAATTTCTCCATAATTGGCTTTAATTTTGATTTACCACTTTTTTCCAGCCAGTTAATATTAAAATCCCCCAAAAAGATACATTCACAAGAGTTGTCAACAACAGAAAGAATTGTTTGTCAACAACAATCCTCCATCATGTGATGAAGGATTGAAAAGCACAGCAGTATTATATTTCATGTTAGGAGAGAGAATTACATTCAATCCCATGCACTCCAAGTTTGAATTCAGTTCAAGCTCTAGGCATTTAAAATGCTCCCTAATATAAATTAAAACACCCCCTCCCCTTCCCTTAACCCTATCTCTCCTGTTGCATGTGTATTCTGGTATGTTAATAAGGTCGGTAGGAACATTGGGATTTAACCAACTCTCAGATATACACAAAAAAAATCAATTTTAGAATCAATGAGTAAATTAGTGGATGTAATAACCGGCTGGAGAGGTTTAGACACTTTGGGTGATTCTGACTGCATCGGGCTGATATCTTGCAACGTCTGATTGGCTGCTAGGCGGAAAAGGGGCCCGGGATTTAGATGGATATCTCCCGATAGTAGTAGCAGCAGTAGTAGTATTATTTTGGCTGTTCTTCCGCCTGATTGTAGTTGTGAGTACTGGCTTGAGCACCTGAGCACGGCCATCCTTAAGAAACCGCGTGAAGACTGCGACATAACCAAATCCAAAGAAATTCAGTTGTGATTTTTCAGATAAAATGCCCAGTGGATCGGTACCATAGTGAGGATGGTGCGCTTTTGTGGCCTGAGTCTCAGGTGCATTGCAGTGACTAAAACAGGCAGCAGTAGAAGAAAGCCACAGGTGAGAAAGTATAGGCCGGTATTGCTTTGTCCATGTTTACCTTTTCATGCACAGTTTTCAAGATAACATGCAGAAACTTTAAAGGCCAGAAAAATATCTTCCAAAGCAGGCCTAGATAAAAGAGATTAAAAACAACGTTAAAAGATTTCTACACACGAGTGGAGCCTGCCAAACCACTCTGAGCAGCTGCTGCCATCTTGGAAAATCAGATTATCTATGCCTGTATGGTAGATTTTGTATGGTGAGGAAATCATTCTAAAGGACCAGGATGTAAGCCAAACAGGTGGAGGGAAACACACAGAGAGGCAGAGAGAAAGACAAGAAACACTGAGGATAAGAACGACAAAATAAACAGGAAACACTAAAGACCGAACTATGAAACAATCAACACAAGGAAAGACAATTGACTAAATAACAAAACAAAACAAAGAATAAACTAACTAAACAAGAGCAAACCACCACACCAGGAGCAGAAACGTGCTCAAACTGGGATGAATATTGGAGATGCTTTTGATAAATGGAGAGAGGTTAGAATGCAGAAAGGTTTACAGACCGATGCAGAGCTGGCTAAACACTGAAGCTTCAGTGTCCACATCATAGCGCCGATGGTTGCAGATTAGATGTATAAACTTTTCTTTTTCCTCCATTGTTGTAGCGACTCTCCGATGTCGTCTCATCCGGTCTCATCACCACACAGCTCTACACTGCCCCTAGTGGTTACATGCATATTGCATCTTGAGGACGTGTAGTGTTAATTTCTGAGGACGTGCACAACCAACGCTCCAAACCACCGCAGGGTAGGCAAGGCTGACGTCATGCATTCCCGTATGCATGGTTAAAAGCAGTGTTTCTCAACTGGTGGGTCGGGGCCCAGAGGTGGGTCGCAGAGCCATTTTCAGTGGGTTGCAAATGTCTGCCTGGAAAAAAAAGTCTGAGAAGCACTTTTTTAAAAAATGTTTGTTTTGTCCAGTTTCTTGCTTATGTCACATGTTTTGTTCTGACTGATGTCCAAACTGCACAATTTTTCAAGAAGTGTTATACACTTACATAAAACATCGATCTGCTGCAGGAGGAATCCACCTGGGGAAATCATGTTTCTTCCATCCTTTGACTTCCTGATTACAGGAAGCAGCGTTCTCATTTACTGATTGAGAAAACCGATGAGTGAAGACGGATGATAGTTACCCAGTTAGAGGAAAGTGCATGAACTGATTAGAAGACCAGAGTCTTGGAAGTGGGTCAAGAGAGAAATCCTGAAGACCAGATGAGATGGATTTGATCTAATCAAAGATTGCACCTTTAAACGAGGACCATCGACTCGACTTCTCTCTTTTACTGCTTTACTCTGACTCAGATAGAAAGGGAGTATACCGTCAATATGTGTGTGTGTGTGTGTGTGTGTGTGTGTGTGCGTGTGCGTGTGCGTGTGCGTGTGCGTATGTGTGTGTGTGTGTGTGTATGTGTGTGTGTATGTGTGTGTGATGGTATTGGAACATGCTTGCTCCTGCTCCTCCATCTCACGGTGGAGAGTCCCATGAGCCTGCAGGTTCAATTCCTCATTGCGGCCGATCAGCT